TTTATTCATTTTAAGGTTGGTACATTTTTAACAAGTCTTAATCTTTCTTTGAAAAACAATAAAAACGATATGACCCACTAGGGTCACTTCTAGGAATATTTTAACCTAAATTCAAACAGCTGAAGAATTTGTTCAAGATAAATAACTAAAAATTGTAGAAAATTTCACAACAGTCTAATCAACGATTGTCAACAGTTTTGTTTTCAAGATTTAAAAAAAAAATCCACACTAAATGTTATAAGATATGTACAGTGCAATGAATTTGTATGACTAATGTGTATGTGTATAAAAAGGGCAGTTAAAGGTGTCACTTCTTAGTACGCTATTTGGGGTGCAAAATAAGCATCCAATCATTACAGCCATTTACCTTCCTCACTTTATAATATAACCAAATATGGAATCTTATCTAGATATGCCAGGTGGTATCGCTTACAAAAGATTTATTCTTCTTCAATCATCACAGAAAATCAACTTGATAACAATTTAATATTTCATTGATAAGGACCCCAGCGAAAAAATGGAAAACCCCAGCGAAAAAAGGAAATGTTTTGTCGCGACATTGACAATTGTTCATTTTCTAGGTTTAATACATTCTTTATAATACTGCACGTTTGTAACGTCGCTTTTCATTGGATAATCATGACATTTATATAGTTTTATATACACAGCTGCTGTCGATTTATGATGAATTCTCACTTTTTCACTTAGTGATGCTTGCTGTATTATAAATTTGTCATAAATATTTCTGACAGGTTATATGGCCATATATAAATAGTTGTTTGCAATATAACCCTCTCCAATCGGCTATGGTTCTATTTCCAATCAACCATTTATATAGGGCCATATAACCTGTCAAAAATCTTTATAACTAATAATATACCGTGAAATACCAATACAGTGAATTAAATCTTGTTGTACCTTTACCTGCTGATCTGAAAGTGATAATCCTTTGCAACCAGTATAGAGCCAGGTCAGCTTGGATTTCTGTTTTGCATTGAAATGCTGAAATGATGGACCCTTCAACATAGAATGAACTGTGCCAAATTCAAAGCCAAGTTGGAATGAATTGATCCATATTCAAAGTCAAGTTAGTCCAGTACAGGAATAACAATATGCACTTTTCCCTTCTGTGATTAGATTTACTAAATAACACTTAACAGTTGTTCCAAATATATGCAAACTGAAAATAATGAAATGGCACTGTTCTAGACATTAACTGTTATTGACTTATAATGTTTTAAAAATATACTATATAATTTTTTTTTTTTTGTAAATAATATTGATCTGACATGAATAACACCATAAAAACACGTGTAATTCTAAGGGTAATAGGTTCTTTGCACCCAATGTACCCAAAAATAATCCAGTTTTGAGCCTCTAAAAAATTATTTGACCCATTTCAGTGGTCACATGTATGCCAATCGGGTACTTTTTTCATACAAGAGTAAATATGAGACTTAACACATAAATTTAATATGCCTAGCCTAAGAACTTTTCCATGGTTCCTGTTTTACAGTTTGATTATCAAAGGGAGTACAAAAGAACAGTTGTGTTTACTATTAGTTATTTAATTGCTTTGTGTATCTTGCAAGTTTTGGTGGAATAAGCACTTTAAGTATCAAAACAATTAAGCATGATGAAAATAAACAAGATATTACATAAAAAAGCTTTATTTTTTCAAGAAATAAGTAGAGTATAAATATATATGGTACAATTGAGACTTAAATATACAAAACAAACAAAAATCATGTCTCATTTACATGACATTGTCTTTATACAAAATCAAACATCAATAATAAGTCATGACAAATAAGGTAACATTATCTACCCTACAGCACCAGACATTGACAATTTTAATATAAAATCAGTTAAATAATCACCCTAGATAACAGGCAACAGAAAGTACAAGATAAGATGTGTGGCAAATTTTAATTTTCAGAAATGCTTTTTTATTTCAGCCATGAGAAAATATTATTATGTAGCCAGAATTTTAATTCTACTGATGATTTACTCCTTATTACAAAATAACAAGAAGACATTTTCTCTATGTATTCCTGATAATAAAATATTCACATCCTGCAGTAAGAATGACCTGTTTGACGGTATGAAAACTACATGCATGAATATCAGCTAAAAATGAGCTTGATGGAAAAATGAATGAAAAAGCTACACTAACAGTAACAAGAAAAACAAATCATTACAAATGAAATGTAGAAAAACCTTTGGAGGATATTAATTTGATAAGAATCCCACTTAGTGGAAATGAATTCGGAAAATGAAATGTGTCTGTGAAAAGACCCTGCCTGAAGCACTTTTATTCACTTTCCTTTATATTATTCTCTCTATCTGTAATAGAAACCACGATTATAAACTCCTCAATAATATGTAACGGGATTTACTCATGCACCATATCTAACGATGCTTAATCTATTTTTATGATAAGGCTTTCAAAGAATCATCTCTCGGCAAGGTGATTTAGTTATACGTACTTTCAATGACAATGCTGTAATTAAAAGGACTATGAACTATCTTAATCAATGGTGACCTAGATTAACTATCCCTGTAACTGAATATCAGAATATATAATAGTCAACTGGTTACGCTATTAAGGATTACATGTTATAATATATAAAATCAAGACATGTCTAATAATTATGAACGTAATCATTTTTATTTATTAAATACATATTGTATAATTTGCTGCATCTAATATTGGACAAAAAAAATTAATTGAAGATAATTTGATATAATGAATATATATGCATATTCATTATAATCACACTTTGAATATTAATAATAAAATAAACAACAACTAGGACTAACATTGATTTCAGCCCAAAAAGCCTTCATAAATTTAAAATATCTGATTTATGTGATACGAAGTTTGTTGGAAAAATTTCATCAACAGTTAATTTGCCATGAAATCTGACATTAACTGAATCAAATACATAGACATAAGAAAATAATGCAGCTTTAAGAATACATTGCTCAATATGAGGCTAATTACTTGGTTGCGGGACAAAAATCTTCTTCAGGACGCCTTTATGACAGTCACCCGATGTTCATGGGCATCATTATTGCTGACTCATACATGATATTTCATGCATTTCATCACTTTCTTTCTTTAAATAAGGAGACATTTTGTGAATAGCTTTTTCATGTGTAAAAGAATATAAAACAGCCAACAAATCCATACTTATACAGCCAAAAATATCTAACTTCATCTGATGTGATTGGCTCTACTGTCATGGAAAAAAAAATTAAGTCTTAAACTTATCATGAACTGTAAACAAAGCATATATCCGAGACAAAAATAAACAAAATCTCTTTAAAAAAAAGCAAATAAATAAATGAAAGACATAACATTGCATTTAAATAGCACTAGTTACACAATTAAGATCAGCACTGTAGATTATCTTATAATGTAGCAGACAGTATCCATGGCAACAAGACACAAAATAAAATAACAATTGTGTTTGTTGTTTTTTTTTTGGTACAAAATAAGTAAACACTCGTAAGTTAAGACAGAAAAAGAAAAATTAAAGCTGATAATCTTAGCATTTCATAATATAATATTTTATATCGGAACATGTATATTTTGGTAGTGTTTAAAGAAATGCATATTTATGGTAAGCAGTAAGAAGCATTCACACTGTAAAGGTAATTTTGGCAATTTTGTCCAGCTTTACCATGGAGGACAACCTCAGATGTCCCCTATAAGCATTATTTCAGGTATAGACAGGACACCAGAGCATGCTCTGTAAGCTCGCTGGATAAACATTTTTCACAGAAAGAAAAAATATCTAAAATTTGTAACAGAATTCCAACACACAACTGTGACGCATGAGTGATTCAACTTGGTGACCTACTTTAACCATGCAGCCATTGTAAAGTTCAAAAACAAATATTCCTAACATAGTCAAAATGAAAATGAGAGATAGGTGTACAAAGCATGAATACAAAGTACAATTTTGTTCTGATAATCAAAAATGAGACTCTACAATCAATTATAAATGTAAGCTTAAAGACCTTCCAAGAACTGAAAGATTTAAGCATAAAAACAATCAAGACTGAGGTACATGTACATGGAAAGCAGTCCAATTGTACACTATATACATTTGTACATGTATAAATAAATTTAATTTTTTGATAATCATATCACTTCAATAATTTCCAAATTGTCCAACTTTAAAACCAATTAAATAGGATCAAAGTATGAAAGACAAAAAATGATCTGCTATTATAGTAATTTCACTATATAATTAAGAATTTCATTTGGTGCTGTCTTAAGAGTGAAACTTCAATTGATATTAGACAAAAAACTGAATCTAACATAAACATATGAATATGTAGTTCATTTTCATATGATTACAATGAAAGAAGAAATAAGCTTCTTGTTAGATCTTTAAGCATACTGTCAACAGAATATCAATTTGAAATAACTATTAAAAAAATCAATTTAAAAACAAACTAAGGGAGACAACTTGCACAGTTTAACAATTGCACTGATACATATATACGATAAAAGCAAAAATAAAAATCTCATGTACAGCAATCATACATTAACAATAAAAGGCATCGTCAATGTACATATAGTATCTATATCTGTAAGTATATAAATTATAATATCTGATAAATAAAACAGTATAGCAGTAACTGCCACCTTCATCATGTACAATCCGTGTCTGCTGCAAAACATTTATATCTCAATCAATTCATTGATAACTGCATTAACTCCTATCATGTTCTCTTCTGCTCCATTTTAATCCCATTTATTAGGTTTTTATAATGTTCTGCTCTGATCCCATTGGTTAGATTTATATTATGTACTGATCCCATTGGTTAGATTTTTACAATGTTCTGATCCCCTTGGTTAGATTTTTATTACGTTCTGACCCCATTGCTTAGATTCATATGTTCTGATCCCATTGGTAATTTTTTTATCATGTTCTGATCCCATTGGTAAATTTTTTATCATGTTCTGATCCCATTGGTTACTTATGTTCTGATCCCATTGGTTAGATTTTTACCATGTTCTGATCCAATTGGTTAGATTTATATTATATTCTGATCCAATTGGTTAGATTTTTATCACATTCTGATCCTATTGGTTAGATTTAAATTCTGTTCTGATCCCATTAGTTAATTTTATATTCTGTTTTGATCCCATTGGTTAGATTTATATTATGCTCTAATCTGTTCTGATCACATTTGCTAAATTTTTATTATATTTTGTTCTGATCCCATTGGTTAGATTCATATTATGTTCAGTTCTGATTTAATCCCATTGGTCCTACTACTGTATATGACCGAGTATTGACCTACAAAAAGCAAGTCATGTATTCTCATTAGCCTAGGCTATTCGGTTCTCATTCTATTCTCTATACTAAGTACTGACCAATACCAATCAAAAACAAGAGTCATTATTTCTCACAAATTGCCAATATCAATGATGATATATCGTTACCAACCAACATTTTAAAAGCTTGTCCAGGTCTTGAAAAAGACACATACTGGCAATATCACTCCACAGGAGCCTAACAGTATAACCTGTCAATACGTCATGGTAAATCTGCCCTCTATATTGCTCAATTGGCTAAACTATGTGATCTAAGAAGTTCTTACAGCTTCTAAATTCATTTTATTTAGTTAACATTGCCTAAGATTCTTCAACACTCATTCAAAACAACTAATCACAACTTCTTGATATCATATCGATATGGTTCTGTTAAGTGTTATCTTGCTGGAACCAAAAATGATCAGACTTTGTTACAAGTATAGAGTCTGGCCAGCTTTTCACATCTGTTCAGTTGATTTTATACAAATTCAGCAGGTTATGGTTTTAAAGCTGATCCATCAGACAAGACCAGTTGAGTTTAAGCTTCACTTTGTGCACTAACTGGACTAGGTTTGAAGTAGTCGGCTGGGTAGAGACCAGTTGTGCCATCAGCTAGCATTCCTACATACCATCCTGGGCGGTCACACTGGAAAAATATTTTGTTATCATATATAGTTAAATAAGCATCAAATCAAATTTTAAATATGAGATTTTTAATTCTTAGAATGACAAAACCTGTCAACATTTTCCTCAGTGCTGGTTAGTTAAATAAAAGGAAAATAGAAAAAGGGGCACAACTTTGCAATAAATCGAGGCTCCAGTGTATGTAATTTTAGGATCATACCATACATGTCCTATTCAAAAAGATTATTACAATGTACAATTTCATTTGAATAAATCATTAACAAGAGCTGTCACAGGAGACAGAGAAGCTCGACTAATTAAATACTGGACGCAGTAAGGAAGACAAAGCTATGAAAGAAAAATCAATTATAATATAAATGTATTTCTTCTATTGACAAGAAGTTATAGTTGTTGACATAAATTCCAAGTTCAAAGAGTAAAATTTTTGGAAATAGTCACAATAGAGTTATGGACCTTGTCACACAACATGTGTGTAATGATAAGAAATATACATTTGAAGTTTGAAGATACCTTAAATAGCAAAGAAGTTATAATATTTCTTAAAGAAAATTCTAAGTTCAAAGGGAGATAAATCTGAAAATATTGCTTTAAGAGTTATGAACCTTGTCACATAAGATCTGGTTGATGATAAGGAATATGTATTTGAAGTTTGAGGTAGATACCTTTAAAACTAAAGAAGTTATAGTAAAAAATAACATTTTTCAAGTAAAAAGATCGCAGTTAATGGGGAGATATTTCTTGCAATATTGGTGCAAGAGTTATGAACCTTGTCACATAAGATGTGGTTTATGATAAGGAACATATATTTAAAGTGTTAAGTTGATCCCTTAAGAAATAAAGAAGTAACAGTAAAAAATAATATTCTTTTAAGGAAAATTCTCAGTTCAAGGGGAGATTAATCTGAAAATATTGATGCTAGAGTTATGAACCTTGTCATATAAGATGTGGTTGATGATAAGGAACATATATTTGAAGTTGATCGTTTTAGAAATAAAGAAGTAACAGTGAAAAGTAATATTTTTTTAAGTTCAAGGGGAAATAAATCTGAAAATATTGGTGTTAGACTTATGAACCTTCTCGCATAAGATGTGGTTGATAATAAGAAATATATATGTGAAGTTTAAAGTTGATACCTACAGAAATGAAAAAGTTATAGTAAAAAATAATATTTTTTTAAGGAAAATTCTAAGTTCAAGGAGAGATAAATCTGAAAATATAGGTGCTAGAGTTATGAACCTTGTCACATAAGATGTAGTTGATTATAAGGAACATCTATTTGAAGTAAAAAGGTGATACCTTAGGAAGTAACTGTAAAAATAGTATTTTTTAAGGAAAATTCTAAATTCAAGGGGAGATAAATCTGAAAATATTGGTGCTAGAGTTATGAACCTTGTCACATAAGATGTGGTTGATAATAATGAACATATATTTGAAGTTTGAAGTTGATACTTTAAGAAATGAATAAGTTATAGTGAAAAATATTTAACTGCACTAAAACTTTAATCTGAAATCTGGACACGGACGCCAACGCCTGGGCGAGTAGGACAGCTCTCCATATACTTGTTGTAGTCGAGCTAAAAAGTAGAATTACATTGGAAAAGAGACACACATTCAACAGCAGGGTAAGGGGTATAGGCTAAACTGCAATACATGCATCTGACAAGAATAAAATTACTGTAAGAAGATATATCATTTGGTTAAACATATTTATTTAAGCTTGATTGCGAAACAAGTTCTTGCAACTTATATCAATCACTTTCCAGTCTGCTTCCTGGAACCAACCAGTACTGGTGTCATATGAGGAAACATGGTGGTGACCCGAGTAGGGCTCGAACCCCCCCTGATCTCTGGGTTGAGAGGCAGACACCTTAACCACTAGGCCACCGCTCCCCTCACATATATCATTTACAAGTTATAAGAAAATTTATTAATATGAAATTGCCCCTTACATCACTCAGCTCTTTTATAAAAGTTCCCTCAGAGAAGGTCAATTCACCATCTATCTGAGCTGTGTATCCCCTTACTGCCTGATACAATGTTCTCTTTATTTCTTCCCTGAAAAAAGGCAGAATAAGTTCATCATGTATTTAAAAGTGCCATGCTTTATTCTATTCATTAACAAGAACTGTCGGAGAACAGTAAGGCTCGACTATTCGAAAAAGTTGTCACAAGAGTGTTTTATTGAGTATAATAATGCTTACATATGAATACATAATATTGACCGGAAAGGTACAAAGGCTTGTTATTAAGATGTTTTATCAAGTAAATCACTGCTTTATTATTATGAATGCATAACATTGTCCCAAAAAAGGCACAAACCCTTCAGTAGTTATGGAGATAACAGCTTACAAGCAAAACTTCACCATGAATTTCTTAGTTGAAAAAGGGAAGAAAAATCAGCCTTAATGCAAGATAGAATTATGGATCTTGGTCAGTGACCTACAATTATAACCCTTAATGCATATAAGAAGTTTTAAATAAATATCTTTAATAGTTATTGAGATATGTAAAACTTACATGTAAACATTAACCAAGAGACTAAGTAGGAAAGGGGAGATCAATCAACCTAAATGCAAGACAGAGTTATGGAACTTGGTCAGTGACATACAATTATGACCCTTCATGCATATGTGAAGTTTCAAATCAAAATATCTGATAGTTATTGAGATATGTAAAACTTACATGTAAACATTAACCAAGAGACTAAGTAGAAAAGGGGAGATAAATCAGCCTAAATACTTGACATAGATATGAGTGCTGTTCAGTGATCACTATTTATGACCACAAATGTAAATATGAAGTTTCAAGTTTGTATCTTTAATAGTTTCATAGATATGCAAAACTTGCATGTTAAACTTAACCAAGAAAAGGAGATTTTTTTTTAGTACAAAAGGGAGCATAATTCAGTCAAAATACATGGCAGGGTAATGAATCTTGAGATGTGACCTTCAATTATGACCCTAAGTACATGTGTAAAGTTTCAAGTAAATATCTTTGAAGACCTTTAACCAAAATTTCGAAGTTTCAAAGGGGCAAATAATTCTGCAGGTAGAGTTATGCAACTTTGCAAACTGATGTACATTGTTACTATAAAAAAAGTATTGTAATTTTCAATTGAATATCTCAAGCAATAATTGAGATATTTGACTTTACAAAAAACTTTAACCAAAATCTGTATGTTAAAAAGGGGCATAACTCTGTAAATATTGTAGGCAGAGTTATCCAACTTGTCAATGTGATGAACATTGTTACTATATATAAGTATTGTAAGTTTCAATTGAATATCTCAAGCAATAATTGAGATATTTGACTTTACAAAAAACTTTAACCAAAATCTCTAAGTTAAACAGGGGTATAATTCTGTAAATATTGTAGGCAGTTATCCAACTTGTCAATATGATGTAAATTGTTACTATAAATAAGTATTGTAAGTTTCAATTGAATATCTCAAGCAGTAATTGAGATATTTAACTTTACAAAAAACTTTAACCAAAATATCTATTTTAAAAAGGGGCATAATTCAGTAAATATTGTAGGCAGAGTTATCCAACTTGTCAATGGGATGTAAATTGTTACTATAAATAAGTATTGTAATTTATAATTGAATATCTCAAGCAATAATGGAGATATTTGACTTTACAAAAAACTTTAACCAACGCAGACGCCAACGTGGATGCCGGGGCATCTACAATAGCTCTCCATATTCTTTGAATAGTCGAGCTAAAAACAATGTGGAATATCTCTAAATAAAATACAGACTGGACTAAACTCTATACAGGGTCAAAACTACTTTGGACATGCTTCCCATAATACGATTACTATCCAAGGAGGAAAAAAAGAGAGAGAAAAACACATGCTGTTATATGGGAATAGGGAAATAGGGCCCAATTTCTGTCCTAAAAATATCCCCAAAGGATAATTGGTTTTATTTAAATACATGTAAAACATCACAAATGTGGTATATATTTACCCTTGGTCAGTTGGTGATGCTTTTGGGGATGTTTCTGGTCTGGTTGGTTTTGCAACTGGAATTCCCCTTTTAGGTTTGGTCCCTGGAGTTGTTTGGGAAACCCCATTTGGAGAGCCACTTCCTGTTTCTATAGCTTTATGAATGACAGGAAGTAGGCTTTTTCCATGTTTTGGGGGTTTACTATCCTGACTTTTCTGTTTCTGAATCCTCGGAGGTTTGGAAGGCCTGTCAGGCTTTGGACTTAGGCTATCATTTTCCGGCTCATTTTTATCATCTTTAACTGGCGAATTCAATGCTGGCAAATTTGATTGGTTGCTGGTTGTTGGACTTGTACTATCTCCGTTCGTATCTTGACCATTGAGTATTTTCTTTGGGGGAACCAGCCCCCTTTGCTTATTTTTAGGAGTGTTAGTAGTTGCGACTGGAATTCCAGCAGGTTTTGGAGCAGGACTATTGGAACGGTTTCTCATTGTTGTAGGAATGCCTGATCGACCAGCAGGACTGTTTGAACGATTTCTTAAACTCTGCTTCTCAACTGAACCCACCTGTTTTGAAGATGCTTTCCTACCTGGAGCAGGACTCTCTGGTTTTCGTTTAATATTCAAATTTGGAGACATAGGTCCATCACTTTCACTTTCAGATAACTTATGTTCATTTACATTTCTATCACTTCCGTCTACACTTTTGTTTCTAAATCCAGGACTGGGTAAATTGGATTTTCTTCCCCTTAATTTGGGAGATTGTTGTGTTTTGGCACTTATAAGGGGTAATTTACTTCCAGGAGTAATACTTTTAGATTTACTATTCACATTCTTGTTCTCTGTATCACTTTCAGATTCACTTAGTCTTGTTTTAACATTTTCAATTATTGGTGATGGGACATGTTTAGCTTCAGGTTCAATTCCTGAAGGAGGCAGTACATCATGACCTGGAGATTTTTTATTCGTAATTGAAGATTGTCCCTCATTTATTGGAGATTTTCCGATACTGTTATTATTCTCCATTCTTGGAGAATTTCCATACACATTTTCATCAACCGGCTCTTCCTTGGTTTTACCAATAGACGAAGGCTTTGCCAATTTAGGTAACCCTGATTTGGGTTTTGGAGCCACTGGGGGTTTCCCAATACTGTCAGTTCTGGCTCTATTCTCTATGCTATCTGTCCTTGGCCTATTCTCTATGCTATCTGTCCTTGGCCTATTCTCAATACTGTCAGCCCTTAGCCTTTTTTCCATACTGTCAGCCCTTAGCCTATTCTCCATACTGTCAGCTCTTAGCCTGTTCTCCATACTGTCAGCCCTTGGTCGTTTTTCAAAACTTTCCGTTCTTGGTTTATTCTCAATATTTTTATTTTGTTTCTCTGTCTCAAAACTTTCCGTTCTTTGCATCTTCTCCATGTTTCCTGTATTTTGAATAACATGTTGAGGATTTGTATGTACTGAATCACTGTTTCCTTTTGGTGAAGTATATAAAACAGTACCTTTATCATCAACATTTTCAACATCATTAGAAGATTTAGCTGAATCAGGGTAATGGAAAACATTTGGTTCATCAGGCTTTTTCCTTGGACTTTCTTTTGGAGACAGAGGAATTTTTGAACTAAGACCTACTTTCGTAGGTTTTTGTAATTTTGATGTCTTTTCAGGGGGAGAACTGGCAGTTTTTTCCGAATAAGCTTCATCATTGGGCTCACTTATTTTAGCAGAAACAGGCTTTGGTGGGGCTAAACGTGAGGCTTTCATTTTTGGTGTGACTGGTATCCCCATTTTAGCTTTAGGTTGGTTTTCTGCTGTAGTATTATCAGGATTGTCTTTTTCTTCTATAATGACTTCATTTTTTACCTCATTTACAATGTTTTCTGCATGCACATTTTGGCCTTGAACTTCGTTCCTAGGTGATGCATCTTCACAACTTCCCAGTGCATTTATATAATCTTTATTTATATCAGCATTAAGCTCTGCAATGTTTTCACTATCATTATCCTTTATTCTGCCATGAATAGGAATATTTTGAATGTCATCAATTATATTCAAAGGTTTAATTTCTTTTGATTTTCCAAATGATGATTCTCTCGGCTTAGCAAAGGACGATACACCAAAGCTTGACAGAGTTTGGTATGGATCATCTTCTCCTGTTACTGCTACATCTTGTTCATCTAAATCTTGACAAACAAAGGCATCAAACTTTCTCTGAGGAGTTAAATTAAAGAATGTATCCTCTTCTTCACTTGGAATCTGGTCCTCTAAAGGTTTGGGCTCTGATAATTTGGCTCTTATTGGTCCTAGTTTAGGAGCAACTGGCCTTGGAGGTGGAGGGGGCCGTAACTTCATCACATCTCCATTAACTAAACCTTTGGTTAGAGTCTCTTTATTTGGCATTTGTACCTCAGCCTTTGGTACAGTCACTAACTTTGGTTTGATAAATCTTTTAGGTACAGGTGGTTTGATTTTTCCTTTTTTTGGTGTGCTTACACAGTTTGGACCATTCTCTGGTGGTTTAATCAACTCATATAATCCATCTGAAGTTGGTCCATTTTGTTTAACAATATTACTATCATTATTATTTGGCACATGTTTGTCAGATATGTTAGTATTCACATCATTTTTATGATCAGGTTTGTCAATAACGTCATACAGGGGATCATGAAGATCTGTAGAATGTTTGGTGGGGGGTAAAGGAGGAGCAACTTTTGGACGAGACATTTTCGGAAGTCTCGAGCCTCCTGGGGTTGGTAACTTTGATTCTGGTTTCTTTTCAACTTGAGGTACATTTGTATCACTTTCATGAGGTTCCGATTGATTCGTGTTTGGTTGGGTCGCGAGCTTGGGGCTAACGACACATGGTTTTCAGTTTTTGACTGTGTTTTGTCTGGTTTTAATCGTTTCCGATTTGTTTGTATATATTTTTTTTGGAACTGTCATCAACAATGGCTTGACTGTCTTTCACTTTGGTACTTTGGGTCTCTGTGAGGGTGATGGTTGGTAACTTTGTCTGTGGTGAATTGGGATGACGGTATCTTGCTGAAGGCTGGTCTATCATTTGTAGAAAATTAATTGGAGATTATTTATCAGGTTATTTAGCAACTTATCATTCAGGTTTACGAAATTCTCATTTTAATATATCGAGAATCAATAATATGGGAAAATTCATTAGAAATATAATAAAGGGAACAAAATGACTATTTTTTCAGGGGGACTTTCTGGCAATATAAACATTTGTTAAAAAATAAAATAAAGAGTAATAATTTTGCCAAAAGTAATCAAATCACAAAACCCCCAATAGATTGCTGTAGACCAATTGGTGTTAAAAAAAAATAGTTTTGTAAAAGATTGATATAGGAGTTGGGCTAAGAAGAACTATTTAAGCTAGCTCTTCCACCTGTTGGCTTGCCAACATAGATAAATGTCATATTTTTTATATTTGTTGGTAAAAAAACCCAAGAAAACTGCATGCCATGTTCAGATTGGCTGTTAAAATAACTGTTGAAATAAAGCTTAAAACAAAATAACAATTTAACATCAGAAAAGTACCTCTACAAATGTTCCTGGGAACCAGCCAACAGTTTTATCTTTACATCCTAACCACCAGCCATTTTCTAGTACCTGAAACACAAAGTAAATGTAAATTATTTAAGCATAAACCAAAGTTCCTAACAGAATATAATGAAAGTATTATTTTACAAATAAAATTCACCACATGTCATCATGTTAGAGTGAGATTATTACAATCTGTATTGAGCCGAGTGGTTCAAGTCGCCAACTTCAAATAACTTGCATGGTTCGAATCCCATCAGGGACTTTGTATTCTTTGGATTCTTTCATCTGAGGGATCTATCCAGCTAGCTTACGGAATGTTGGTAATTCTACACAGGGGGTGCCAGCTTGTGCCTAAAATAATGCAGAGAGAGGCACCTAAGGTCTTCCTCCAACAGTAAAGCTAGAAAGTTTCTATATGTTCTTTACACTGTTGGTGTGACTTAAATCCAACAACACACATACAAACCAACAAAGCCACTCAGGAAATGGAGAGCACAAAATAATAAATGTCAAATTTGTAAACTAATCTAAATTTTTAAGCACTGATTGATGGATCAATTTCTATCATGTATTCAATTATGACCATATAAACATATAACAATTTCCCAATTACTTGATAATAAAGTAATGGCCATAAACTATTAATGAAACATTTTATGATGTGGTTACCTCTAGTATTTCATGAAATGTAATTCAATATCTTTAGCTCTAAACCTCAGGAACAAAATCATGTTATGTTGATAATTTTATAAAGACTTGATATCTACAAGTGAAAGGGGTTTTAAATATTTTAACCTTGCGTTGAACAGTTATGTGAAATGGGTATTTAATTCCTTCACCTTCAGTTTGCAAAGGCAAAGGTTATGTAAACAGGAAGATAAAACATCATGTCTGTTATCAGGAGGTGGTTAATAAAACAACATGACAGTCAGGCATCATTTATAAAATGATCAGTTTGATGACGTCTTAAATGTCACAATGTTTGAAACACAACTAAATAAACATCACTTTGCAAAATAACATTAATACTGTTAGCACAACAAGGTTGATATTTTCCACAATGGGAATATAGTGTGTTCGATAATTGAATAATTCAACTGTTTTCCTATTATTAATTGGGAATTTTTTTTTAAAATGAGAAGCACCTAGCAATAATTGCCCCTCTAGGGGTAGAAATAATGGGTCGCAAAAAAATGTCTAAATGTGACAATTGAACAGAACGCAGTATTGTTTTCCGTTAAAGGGACCCACCCTGGATTTTTGAATCTAAGAATTTTGGTCCATTGGTTCAAACAGGTCAGAAGCAGGCTGTATTTTTAGGCAGAAACTTTACAATCAAAAGTTTTTCTAGTTGGTTCCAGGAACAGATTCTAGTGTTTTTTTTTTAATCTTAAACGCTTCGTAACACGATCAAAATAAAATATTTTTTTCATAAACTTCATGTATTTCATATTTCCTGAAAACTGTGATATGATACCAGTATCAAATCAGGTCACCAGCTTTCTCTGCGGGAGAATGTATGTATAGCTTTATGTACTATACCAATCAGATCCTGTCGCTCATCCATGTCCACATTCACTTCTAGCTGCTTGTAACTTGACGGATCTAGGTCCAACTTAGGTTTCTCAACTTTTTCAACTTTATCAACCTTTTAAAGAAACCAAAAGTAATTGAATGGCAAAATAAAGGAAATCAATTTGTCATTTGGCCTTCAAAGGCATATCTCATCATAAATGAATTATCATTATTCCAATGTGAGATTTATGAGTTTAATTTATGTCAATTCTTTCCTATAAGTAATACAAATTACCTAACTAACAAAGATATTAATGAAATTTTATTTTAATGTTTTATCATATCTTGGGGAACTTTTTACAATACATGTACATTTCTTCATTATTATAAATAGTTTATATCTACTGTGAAAAATTGGTGATGGGCATGTATATGTTTATGCCTATAAAATCACACCTTTTTAACATATATATATCTGGTAGCTATTAAAATTTCACCTTTTTAACATATGTAGCTGGTACCCATCCTTCCAGCTTCCTACTGTCATTTATACCTCTCATCCAACCATTTTTATCGCACAGGCCTCTTTTACACATGGATTTGTTCCTTTGGGTTTTATAGTAAGCTCTTGTTATCTACAACGGGCAAAAACGGATATGGGAACTATTGTGTTCCCTCATCGTAAAATTACAGAAAATTAATGTTATAGACATGTTCTATATATGTATGAATATGAAAAACTAAGCACTTTTTCCTTACATGTCAATATGAGTAAATTAAACATGAAAATTACTTGAATTAAATGAACCCTTTCCTAACTTTACTTGATCTTCTAATAATGCTTTGATTTAAATTCTAAAACTGTCAACTGTTATTGTAAGGGATTTCCACTGAGGTCCTAAAGCTTAAAACATAAAATTTGAATTTCCTACACACATGTATATCAGCTGGGGCATTTAAAATAGAAAGATATGCAAAAGATAATAAAGAAATATAACAAATTAAATTGACAATCAAATTATTGCACTATTTTTAAACAGATTTGAAAGAAAAGTGTAGCAACACAATTTTAGGTCATTTTGCACGTGAGTCTAGATCTACATCAAACTGAACATTAATCTCGAAAAATTATTTCCAGTCCTGTCATTTCAATAAAATACACAGTTCCTTGTAAATTTGAAAAAAAGGGTAAAATTGAGCTACTAACTGTATATGTAGGGTGACCTGACATAAGACATACCCAAAACATTTATTACTTGCATTCAAAAAGTTTAGCATATGAAAACGGGAATCATTCAAAGTTTGTCAGACAAAGAGAGCTAAATTTGTACTTTAAATGTTTCATGGAAGTCATTTAACTTGCTATCTACTGCTGTTTTTTACTTAATAAAGTTGAAGATTCATTTACTGGAAAAGTATATATGTTATACTAACATTCAGAGGATGGTCAGTCATATACACAATATTACAATCATTCAATACAACAGGCGACAATATTTCATTCCAGAAAAGTACTTACCTAATAAAGTATCTTTAAGCGAGGATATAATATCTGACTTTGTAGGTGTGGTACTATTGCTCCTGTCTACACCCGACTTTCTCTTGTCCTGAAATCATAACAGTTTATGCATGAATGAACAAATTACATGTATTTTTTATAAATACAGATTAGGCTCTATAGTTGTAAAAATATTTACTATAGCAATAGTATTGAGAAAATCAACCCTTATATCTAAAATGGACTGTTCCATCTTTCAAAATCTTTCATGGTTTTTAGGGACTATTTCAAAATATGTAATGACTAATTACCAAACAGTGAAGATCATAATCAGATGGCACAGAGTTCAGCAGTTTTATTTCAGAAGTATCCTGAAGGCCAAAAGCCCATGAGGACAACATTTTATACAGTGTACATGTTGAAAATTATAACAAATTAACATCTTGTAACATATTGCACAGACATGCTGGCTGATCTTAGTCAAACTGGTTGCATGAGTAACAAGAGTTAAAACATAAAATGACTCCTGTACTCAGGTGATAAATAGTTGGGTTTTTTTCCAGGACTTGCAAAAAGTCCGCTATTATAGGTAAATCTTCACTATCCTTTAACTTGCAGGAACCGAAAATGAATAACCTTTACCACATACGTGAAGTCTGGACAGGCTCTTTCGTGATGGATGACTACTTAAAAATTTTCATGTTGGCTATTTAAAAATTTTCATGTTGATTTATTCCAAATTGATAAAGGACACTTCAGAATGTTGAATCTGGACAAGCTATCTAAGAAAATCAGCAAAATAAGGATTTTTCTCCAATGCTGTTAAAGTCAGCTTTTACATATTGCTTTAAATGCTATGCTTATAGATCAAAAGGAAGAAGATCTAAACTTGTCAATATCTGGAACTGTCTATTATCAATTATGGTCAGACTGGCCTGGCTCTATACTGGCAACAAAGATGAATAGCAGATCAAAGAGGGTAAGGTAAAGGTTAAACTTAATAATAACTTTAAGGTATATTCAAACAAACATTAACACCCCCAGCCTCCGCCAAATAAAACCATGAAACTACAAAAGTGATTAAGAATTATTGTCATGCAGTGACAGACTAAATATAAGCAAATGTTTGTAAGCTAAGATTAGTCTAAGTACCTTTGGCTGTATCTTGCAGTAAATAGGCTCAGCTTGTATTTCTTCCTCCGTTGGGGCAGATTTTCTGTGATTGGGTTCATTAACAAGATAAGATTTTCTGTGATTAAGTTCATTTAATAAGCAAGACTGTCTCTGATTGGGCTCTTCTGACCTCTTCACCATGAAGGATGAAACATACGAGTCATCATGCATCTCAACCTCATTCTCTGTTTTAAAATTGTCTAAAACATGAAAAAAAAGTGAGTTGCATAACATAATTCACACAGAATCATTTATCAATGCTATTTATCAGGTTGAAACAGTTTTCAATTCAAACTGATAAAAGAACCACCTTAAAGGTTTTGTTTATTTTCAGGCACACACAGTCGAAAACATCATACAACCTTTTGTTTTGTACCAGAATTTATGTCCTAACATTGATATCTTTTCATAGTTTGTGATTTTCTATCAACATACATGAAGGGAGACAACTGTTGAAACAGAAATGTTTTTACTGGCAAAACCCACACAATAATGATGGAAATCAAAGATCATTTTTTCAACCAAACAATTCCATGTTCATACTGATTTTTGTTTGCCAAAAAAAAAAAAAATTGTCAAGGCACTTAAAATGAAGTTAGTTAATAAATACATTTTAATTGATCAATTAATTATTTCTTGCATATAACTTGTGGTTCATTAACCTAAAAAGAAAGAGTTGTTTTATACCTGGTGGTGCCGCCTGAACATAGTTGCTAGGGAACCAGCCAGTCTGGTCCCCAGCAGTTCCTCTCCACCAACCAGCAGCCTCCTTTCTGTGAACTCTAACTAGGTCACCTTGTTTCAGTTGTAAATGGGTGCTCAGTTCCCCTTTATAGTCAAACACAGCTTCATATGTTGTACATCCTATATATAACAACAAAAATTTAACTATTACACCACTTGTAAAATTTTACCAAATAATTTTTTTTCCTCATAAATTACAAAATAAACAGACCATTTCTGATATGAAATCTTAAGGCAGACAGTTACCTGTTTATTCACATTGATAAATAAGATGTATATCAAATAATACACAAGTAAAAATTCTGTGATAATGACATTAGCAGATGAATAAACTGTTCTTTTCTTAAATTAAAGATCTCATATGAAGAGTATATCACATAATTATGTTCTCCATGTTAGAATATTTAAGTTTTAGTATTCTTAATATCAGTCATAGTTCGGATCGTAATATATATCCCGGGAGGTACCTGCCCATTGTTTCAATATGGACAAGACCATTTATCAATTTATCATTTTAAGGAAATTTAACAAGGGTGCCATAGTCACAAAATACGCCCGTTTACGAAAGCTTTAGATGGAGATGGGGGCATTATGGATAAGTGTTATCTAGCAAGCAAGTTTTTATTCTTGGCACTGTGTTGTTAAATGAACCTTAAAACAAATCAGTAGGGAAGATATGCACAGGATGTGTGACCTTGACCTTGGTCGCAGGGACCTGAATTTTATGCACGGCACTCAGCCTCACAATGATGAACATTTGTGCCAAATTATATTGAAATCCCTCTATGCATGTAGAAGTTTTGCTCCAGACAAGCGTTTTTCTATGAGCTCTAACTGTGACCTTCACCTTTGACCTAGAGACTTGGTTCATGTGCAGGGCACTACGTCTCATGGTGGTGAACAATTCTATAAAGTAACATTAAAATTCCTCCATGCATGTAGAAAATATGCTCCGGACAACATCTGGATATTTAATCATCTCCAGTGACCTTGCAAATATTAACCTAAATTAAATGTGTCACACCTGTAGTCATGATAGTTACCATTTGTGCTACAATCCATCAATAAATGATGACTAAATGGTCCCTATACACATCTTCAAATTTTTATCTGAACTTTGACCTCTATGTGTAACATTGACTTTGGTCGCAGGGATCTGAATTTTGCGTGCGACACTCAGCCTCACAATGGTGAACATTTGTGCCAAGTTATATTGAATGTAGAAGTTTTGCTCCGGACAAGCGTTTTTCAATGAGCTCTAAGTGTGACCTTGACCTTTGACCTGGAGACCTGGATCATGCATGGAGCAATACATATCATGGTGGTGAACATTTCCATAAAGTATTATAAAAATTCTTCCATACATGTAGGAGATATGCTCCAGACAAAATCTGGATATTTCACCATCTTTAGTGACCTTGACCTTGCATATATTGACCTAAAGTACATGTGTCACAGCCGTAGTCATGATAATGACCATTTGTGTTACAATCCCTCAATAAATGATGATTAAATCGTCCCTATACACATCTTCATATTTTTATCTAAACTTTGACCTCTATGTGTGACTTTGACCTTGGCCGCAAGGACCTGAATCTTGCGCGCGACACTCCGCCTCACAATGGTGAACATTTGTGCCAAGTAATATTGAAATCCCTCTATACATGTGGAAGTTTTGCTCCGGACAAGCATTTTTCAATGAGCTCCAAGTGTGACCTTGACCTTTGACCTAGAGACCTGGTTCATGTGCGCGACACTGCTCCTCATAGTGGTGAACATTTCTATGAAGTTTCATGAAAATCCCTCCATACATGTAGGAGAGCTGAACTGATATTTACTTGAAAATTAAAATATAATTAAATTTCTATGAGAAAGTATTTACATTTGATAAGGTAATTACTGTATGATCTTTATGAACAAATACCAAGTCTACAGAACACCATATTTATCACAGTTAAGAATCTTGACCAATGAATGAAACATGTGTAAATAAATGTTACATTCTTTAGAATACTCAAGTCCAAGAGAGGATCATTTATGCCCTTTGATTAAATTCTATTTTTAGAATTGAAAGTGAAAGTAGATCAAGGGGAGTAATTGTGTAAGTCATTTATGAACAAAGTAATAACTTTGTTGTCGCCCTTTGATAAAATTCTATTTACAAAATCTGGATATTTCATTATCTTTAGTGACCTTGACCTTGTATATATTGACCTAAATTATATGTATCACAGCCATAGTCTTGATAATGACCATTTGTGTTACAATCCCTCAATAAATGATGACTAAATGGTCCATATACACATCTTCATATTTTTATCTGAACTTTGATTCTCTATGTGTGACCTTGACCTTGGCCGCAAGGACCTGAATCTTGCACGCGACACTCCGCCTCACAATGGTGAACATTTGTGCCAAGTAATATTGAAATCCCTCTATACATGTGGAAGTTTTGCTCCGGACAAGCATTTTTCACTGAGCTCTAAGTGTGACCTTGACCTTTGACCTAGAGACCTGGTTCATGTGCGCGACACTGCTCCTCATAGTGGTGAACATTTCTATGAAGTTTCATTAAAATCCCTCCATACATGTAGGAGATATGCTCCGGACAAAATTGGACGCCGCCCGCCCGCCCGCCCTCCAGGGGCGTTCCCATAATACGTCCCGTTTTTCAAACGGGCGTATAAAAATATGTACTGACTAAATTGATATGAACAGTGCAAACCATGATCAGACAGTACTGGGTGCCGTTTTATTAACGGTCGTACGACCGATCATACAGCTAAATCGAGTTTTATCTACATGGGCGCAGCTAAGATGTCGTACATTAACGTTGAAACTTTAAGGCTGCTTCAGACCAGTTGTAAATCTAAGTAGGATTAAGATCCTTTAAAAAGCGACCATTTTCGCATAATTCCTGACAAGAACTTTCAAACGCAAATATTCGATCAATTGAAGTTTTCAACTAACGTAAGTTTTTCGCGTACATGTTTATGTACAGTGCTAAATCTATTTTAACATCCAAGGGACACAACTATCACTTCCAGTTTAATCTGTTGATAATTTCCATAAGGAAGCTATTATTAGTTGTATTACTTTCATTTTAGTACATCCGACGTATATATGTGTGTTTAATAAAACTCCTGTCACATCTGTAGCGAGATTAGCAAATGATTCTTACAATATTGTATACCGTTTCCTTCTTTTCTTTTCGAAATATTTTAGTACAGAAATTTTGGACAGTGCAAATTTTCTACAGAACAAATAGATCGAACAATTGTCAATAATAATTGTGTGAATTGTATAAAACCAATTTGATTGTTATAACTAGAACTGCCACTATCATGGCGTGAATACCCCCGCATACCACTTTGTCAGAATCAACAGTGGCCATTTAGAACTCAAGGACAACCTCCCTGCCAAATCTGAGGTTACTAAGCCAGTGCATTGCTAAGTTATGTATTCTACATGCTTCAAATGTGAAAATGTCAAAATCAATACACTCTGGACAGGCACTCTGAAGCAATTGAGGGGAAAAGCTTTATTTTGACAAGGTCCCTATGACCTTGACCTTTGACCCAGTGACCTCAAAATCAATACGGATCATTTACTTATCATGACAAACCTCCATGCCAAATATGTGACCTTGACCTTTGACCTGGTGACCTCAAAATCAATAGGGGTCACCTACTAATCATGACTAACCTCCACGCCAAATATGAAGACTGTGGGTCATAGGAATCTTAAGTTATTGGGCGGACAAACTTTTTGAAGTCAAGGCCCCTGTAACCTTGACCTTTGACCTGGTGACCTCAAAATCGATAGGGGTCATCTACTAATCATGACTAACCTCCATGCCAAATATGAAGACTGTGGGTCATAGGAATCTTAAGTTATTGGGCGAAAAAGCTTTTTGATGTCAAGGCCTCTGCAACCTTGACCTTTGACCTGGTGACCTCAAAATCGATAGGGGTCATCTAATTATCATGACTAACCTCCATGCCAAATATGAAGACTGTGGGTCAAAGGAATCTTAAGTTTTTGGGCGGACAAGCTTTTTGAAGTCAAGGCCCCTGCGACCTTGACCTTTGACCTGGTGACCTCAAAATAGATAGGGGTCATCTACTAATCATGACTTACCTCCATGCCAAATATGAAGACTGTGGGTCAAAGGAATCTTAAGTTATTGGGCGGACAAGCTTTTTTGAAGTCAAGGCCCCTGCGACCTTGACCTTTGACCTGGTGACCTCAAAATCGATAGGGGTCATCTACTAATCATGACTAACCTCCATGCCAAATATGAAGACTGTGGGTCAAAGGAATCTTAAGTTATTGGGCGGTCAAGCTTTTTGAAGTCAAGGCCCCTGCGACCTTGACCTTTGACCTGATGACCTCAAAATCGATAGGGGTCATCTACTTATCATGACTAACCTCCATGCCAAGAATAAAGACTGTGGATCAAAGGAATCTTAAGTTATTGGGCGGACAAGCTTTTTGAAGTCAAGGCCCCTGTGACCTTGACCTTTGACCTGGTGACCTCAAAATCAATAGGGGTCATCTACTAATCATGACTAACCTCCATGCCAAATATGAAGACTGTGGGTCAAAGGAATCTTAAGTTTTTGGGCGGACAAGCTTTTTTGAAGTCAAGGCCCTGCGACCTTGACCTTTGACCTGGTGACCTCAAAATAGATAGGGGTCATCTACTAATCATGACTAACCTCCATGCAAAATATGAAGACTGTGGGTCAAAGGAATCTTAAGTTATTGGGCGGACAAGCTTTTTGAAGTCAAGGCCCCTGCGACCTTGACCTTTGACCTGGTGACCTCAAAATCGATAGGGGTCATCTACTAATCATGACTAACCTCCATGCCAAATATGAAGACTGTTGATCAAAGGAATCTTAAGTTATTGGGCGGACAAGGTTTATTTAGTCAATGCCCCTGGGACCTTGAACTTTACCCCAAAATGTATAGAGGTTAACTAATAATCATGACAAAACTACATGCCAAATATGAAGACTGTGGGTCAAAGGATTCTTAATTTATTGGGCGGACAAGCTTTTTGAAGTCAAGGCCCCTGCGACCTTGACCTTTGACCTGGTGACCTCAAAATTGATAGGGGTCATCTACTAATCATGACTAACCTCCATGCTAAATATGAAG